TGAAGGAAAAGTTGAAAGTATTAATTTTTCTTGAAAATAAAAATTTTTAAAAATATTTTTGAGAAAAAATTGAAAGTATCAATTTTTCTTAAAAATAAAATTTCTAAAAATAAAATTTCTAAAGATATTTTTAAGAAAAGTTGAAGTACTCAATTTTTTCTTAAAATAAATCTCCAAATGCTTTAGAAAAAGTTGAAAGTATCAATTTTTGTTGTATAAAGCAATGGTTTTTTTATAAAATAAAATAAAGATTATTATCAAGTGAATCATTATTCCCTTTTTTTTTTTATTTTTATTTTCTTTTTTCTTTTCTTTTCTTGGAATTTAATGTTAAATATCCAACTCTGTGGAGAGTGAACAATAGTTTATCTTATACGTCTATGAGGTGAAAGATTTTTCTTAATTTTTTACCAAAAGTATTGGAGTTAATAAGAATATATTTTCAATAATTACTTTGGAATTTTTTAAGGCTTATTGGATAACACGAAATTAAAGTAAGCTAGTGTCATCTTTCGATAAACGTTATGAGGGTGCTATAACCTTTCTCACACATAACCGTACTCTCGAACTTATTATGGTTAATAGACCCGAACATATTCTTTTAGGGATCCTTAGTCAAACTTGAGTGTTCATTGAAAGGATAGATTTTTTAGGAAATCAATTGCACCTAAACAAAAAAATATCGGTGACAACTTCTTAAGTCAATATCTAGCAATAGATCTCAAGATCTAAATGTTATGACAATATATATATGTATATATATTTACTTATTCTTTAAAGAAATGTATAAAAGCCTTAAAAGGATGACCAATATTCAGTTCTTGTTCTTAAGGCTTTATTATTAAACCCCAAATTTAAAGGAAAGATTTAAATGAAATTCTTTATTATTAATGTCTTTATTGAATTTTTTAATCGGGAATTTCATAAATTTCATTTAAAAAGTTTTATTTAAATATTTTTGCCAGACCCAATGTTTGATTTTGAAATCAAACAATTCTTAATTTTATCTAATGAAGAGTTCAAGACTTGTTTATATACATGTCAAACTGTTTTGGTACAAACATATCTACATAATTTTAAATAAGAAAAACAAAGGAATAATTTATTAACACGTGTTCAAATACTAGCTTGTGATAAGTCATGGAAAGACCTTATAGCATTACATAAGTATACCACAATTAATAAGAGTATAACATACGAAATTTATTCCACTATCCAATTGCGGCTTGGAAACTTGGATAAGATTTTATATATATGTATACCTAGCTAATATATATTAAATCATAAAATGAATTGCTAACACTTTCAAGGAATATAACTGATTCTAATCTATTACAACGATGATGAAAACGTTTTCCAATGGAATAAATGATCCAAGTGACCATAAATAAATGTGTCACGGACTCTGTTATTTGAAAAGTTTATGACATGGATGAACAGATTCAAGACCTTGTTTTTAGAAATGTAGTTAGGACCATCGGGAGTGTTGGAGCTCTAGCTATATTCTATAACCAGACAAGTTCTGTAGAGAACGAAGATGGCAAAGGAGAATGAAAACCCGACAGAGAGCATCAAATGGGTTCATGGGATTCAGGGTAGGGTGTGGTATAGGGACAGAGAAACACCTACATGTCTCTTACCATTAGCCATAAATAGACACTCCTTTTTCTCATTGGACCTGATCAAAACAGTGAATGGAAGCAGGACCGCTCGTGCAGCTAGCTGTTTTTGTTGTTGTTGTTTTTTTGGTGGTTGAGTGTGCTTAATTTTCATTTCTCTTTCTGATCAGTGTGTGACTTGTGGAAGTCAGTTTTTGTTGGTGGCCTGCCATCTGGGCATGTCAGCGCCACCCACGCTTAATTTCTCTCTTCCTTTCGTCTGATTCAACACGCAGCCTTGCACCACCGACGATTCAGTCAAATCCCATTGTCGGTTTCGAATGCTTTATTTGTTGTCACTTCTAAGTCCTAAACATCTGCTATCCGTTCAGATATCTTTACCTTGAGAGCTCTACCTTTTCTTTGTAGTCTCATTCTAATTTTGTTACCTGCCAATCCTCCACAACACCAACCATTTACATTACATATTTGGTATTATAAAACGGTCCAAACTAAGGGACTAAGCACTTTTTTATTAGTAAACATCACGTAATGAACATCAGATGAGAGATATATTAATCTAAATGACTTAAAATTTTTACCAATAACTTTATAACAAAGATTGCATGTGAGTGCGGCCCATGACATGAATATTATTTCACTTGAGTTGCAAGGCTACTGCAGTAAGAGACAGTAACTGTAGAATAACTGCCAACTGTACATGTGTGTGCTTCAACTTGAATTAAAAGCCAAGGAGAAGGAGAGAAACGACAGAAAAATATGATACGAGTGACCGGCAAGGGAAGGGAATATTCTCTAGTGTGAAATCTTTCAAAGTTTGAACCGTGAGGGCCTGAGGGAGAGGGGGGCTAGCATGAGAGTGCGTGTTGGGTTATGCACGTGCAGCTAGCATGAGTTGGCTGCTTACGTGAAAGCATCGCAACTTGGGGACAAAATCCAACGGTTCCTGACGTTCCTCTTATAAATTTTGCTGACCTGACCCGCCCCCTCCCCTCCTCTCTCTTCCTCCTTCATAACTCAACTCTCGGTTCATTGTCGTGACTATAGGCTACATAGCTGAATAAGTTCAATAGTTGTCCTTTGATAGAATGTTAATTAAGGATTGAAAATATTATATCTTAGTGAATTTTTTATTCCACCATTAATTAAAGGTTAACACATACTTCTTTGAAAAATTTTAAATTTCATCCATAAAAAATTTAAATTTCACCATCGAAATATTTTACTCATTATAGTCATCTTAAACTATATCTTCTTTGTTATAAAGTTATCATGTTTAGTATATATTTATTTTCTTCCTTCTTTTCTTGGAACTTAAAATTTGTATACCTTTTGATTTATATTTATATTTATATATATATATATTAATTCTTCACGATCTTCTCCGTTTTTGGCATAAACATACATACTTTAAATTTTTTTTTAAGTTATAGTTTGTCTAAATTCTTTTCCTTAAATTACGTGAGAATAATCAAATTTACATATTTAATATGTAATTAAGGGATAAATTATTCTAGACAAATATTGATAAAGCTATGTGGAGTAAGAAAAAAAAGAGATTGAAAGGCAATGAAAGGACGTCATATCAATTAAATTTAATTTTATCTATTATCTTATACAAAGTTTAATTAATTAATAGACAGGAGAAGATGCTTCTACTCGATTAAAATGTTCATATAGGACTAAAACACCAAAAAAATTCGGATAAAACAGAAATTGAATAAAAAATGTGGGAGTTGCATGCATGCACGATTTTAGTGACAGATGAGCTAGAAAAGAGTTAGGAAAGAAAGAATTAAACAAGGGAAACTTGGGATAGGGGAGGAACACGTCGGGTTTCCGTGATGAAGAGGAAATAGTGGAGGCCCCAAAAAAGGCATCGACATCAAATTGTCGACGAGGCAAGTCGGGCCCGAAAGGAAAGGAATAGAGGAGGGAAGAAGATTGATTGATTGATTGATTCATAGAAACGAGAGTTCCCCTTAAGACACGCCCTGACTCTCCTGACCCAATTTTGTTCGGATGGGTCCAACTCCAATTTCCCATGACCCACATGCACCACCCTCCCTCTCTCCATTAATGCCCCTCTTTCCTTCCACCAATTTACCTAATTCCAATCCCCTCCCTCAGTTTTTATGACTAACACAGTCACTCCTCTCTCAACAGTCAACACCAAGCACGAAACTACTTTTTGTAACGCTAGCTGATCAGCTCGCCCTCTTTCAGTTTTTATTTCCCTCCTGTCAATTTTCAGTTTAACCAGAATAAAGCCTCTTTTCAGTTTTCACACACATATTCTCACTTTCTCACAGTTTTTTTAGAATTATTAAAATATACATTACTGAATAAGAATCGCAGTCAGCAGTTTTCAATCCTATAAACGTCTTATGTTTTCAAATACTGATAGATTAGATAATATATAGATACTGGTTTGGAAGATGAAACAAGGAATCCCATGAAAGAGACATTATGATAGTCAAACATTCTGAACTTTTCGCTTTCGTTTCCAGCATTTGTAAAGGGCGGCAGCTATAGGAAGTAGTCTTGTCATCATCATCGAACTTGTTTCAAATATGTTAAAAAGTACAAACTTTTGGGGACCTGGAGACGGAATTTTTAGTACTAGTTGCAGTTAAGAGAGTGAAAGGGAAGAAGAGAATAGAAGATGAAAGAAAGAGAGGAGGCTTGAGCTAGCAAATGAAGGACAGATCTTATACTGCACGCAGCAGGCTTTTAATTCTCAAGACAGAGACATTTAAGAGAAAGAGAGAGCAAGGGAGAGAACGTGGGGGGGGCCCATGGTGCTGATAGGCAAAAGAGAGAGAAAGACGAGACCCCACACACCGCCCATGCGCACGCTGTCTTTACTGGAGCTAAACCCGTCATCGATCCGATGCCTTGACCTAACCCTAACCCAACAACACTATACCCAAAAAGCACAAAGGAATCCCACCACGCCCCAAACCCAAATCCATAAACCACCTCTCTCTGCCTCTAGCATTTTTGGCTATATTCTTCCCCCACCTGTCTTCCTCATTTCCTCCCAAACCCTTACCCAACAACTTATCCTCATACAAGAGAAACGGATCACTTCCAAAAAGTACCTAAGAGAAACAAACCATCTCAGCTCACATGAAGAGAGGAGAGAAGAGATATGGCTTGATTCAGCCATTACAGCTGAAAATTTGGTGGCAGATGCTTCAAAGCCCTTCTCTTTCCCTTTTATGGTGAACCTTGTAGATATTTAATCTTTCAAAGCACCCAGCAAACAAAAAAAGGAAACCCCAAAACTTTAAGCCTATTATCCTTCTTTTCCCTTTCTCCATCAGAATTCAGCTGGTTCTTGTAAGCGTTAGCTAATTGTTAATTAGGTTTGAACTTTGAAAGGAAGAAAACAAATGGACCCAATAACAGCTCATGGCCGCTCTCTTCCTCCTCCTTTCCTCACAAGAGATCTTCGTCTAAATCCCCACCATCAATTTCAACATCAACACCAACAACAAAACTCTGAAGATGAACAAAACCGTGGCCAGAAACGAGATCGGGAAGAAACAGCCGCTACCACGACCGCTACTGCTACTACTGACAGGAGTGAAGGCAAAGAACTAGCCATAGTCCCTGGAACAGAAGATGAAATCACACGAAGACCACGAGGCAGACCTGCGGGTTCCAAGAACAAGCCTAAGCCTCCGATCATCATAACCCGTGATAGTGCCAATGCCCTCCGATCCCATGTTATGGAGATTGCCAACGGCTGTGATATTATGGAGAGTGTTTCAACTTTTGCCAGGCGAAGACAAAGAGGGGTTTGCATTTTGAGTGGGAGCGGAACTGTAACAAATGTAACCTTAAGGCAACCTGGAGCTCCTGGTGCAGTTGTGACTTTACAAGGAAGATTCGAAATTTTATCACTTTCTGGGTCATTTTTACCTCCTCCAGCACCACCGGCTGCATCGGCTTTGACCATATACTTAGCCGGCGGTCAAGGTCAAGTAGTTGGAGGAACCGTGGTGAGTCCACTTGTTGCTTCAGGTCCGGTGGTGATTATGGCAGCTTCTTTTGGTAATGCGGCGTATGAAAGGCTTCCATTGGAGGAAGAGGAACAACCCGAGGCGCCGATTCCTGGAAGTGGACCCTTAGGGTCACCAGGAAGCATGGTTAGCCATCAGCAGCAACAGCAACAGCAACTATTGCAAGATCCGAACGGATCCTTTGTTCAAGGGCTGCCACCAAATCTTCTAAATTCAGTCCAGTTGCCAGCTGAGGCCTACTGGGGCACAGGTCGTCCCCCTTTTTAACAAAACAGATAGTTCCGGTTTTTTTTTTTTTCTTTTTTTCTCCTTAATTACCCCCTTTTCACCTCTCTTGTTAGTTTGACCTTTTGATCACCTTTCATTCTTCTTCTTTTATAGGATAGTTAATGTTTTAATTTAAGTCTTAAGGATGTTGATCATGGGATTCATCTGGCTTTGATTTGAAGAAGGATGTACAAATTTCATGGATTTCTCTGGTGGGTTTTTCTTCCTTTTTCTATTAGGAGTATTTTATAAGAATAACTTTTTTTTTTCAGTTGTCCTCATTATAGTAGCTTAACGATGAAGAAGCACCAGAAGATGGCAGTCATTTCTTTCTCCATCCCTTTTCAGCTTGTCTCAAAATTGTTCTTCCCACAAATAAAAAAAAAAAAAAAGCCACCTTTTTTTTTTTTTGCATAATACTTTTAAGTTTCAGATTCTGTTACACGATCCAAATACTTAAAAACTACTACTACTAACTTATTTTTTAAAAAAACGGGTTGGATTCATAGAGATGGATTGGGTTTTTGGTTTCTTTAAAAGAATAAACACTATCAGTTTATTCGTGCAGTTCCAGAAATAATATAGTATATATTTTTTTCTTCCATTCTAAACACAAACTACACTACTAGTACTTCTACTGCTATGATTATTGGTATTGTTATTAGAACTGATTTATTACTAATGATCAAGGATGCTTATTTTATTAGTATTTGGATGGATATATATAGTTCATTTAATCTAGTGGCAGTTTGAAGGTTGGTCGGGGGGAGATGGCAAATCATGACTTGAAGAAAGCAAGGTGATGGGATGTTATGGGCTTAGGGTTTTGCTGTCTTTTTTGCGGAGTATTTATCTTTCTTTTTTTTTTTCTTTTCTGACTTGCTAGGGTTCATTATGGAATCATCAGAGATGAACATTGGGTTCTGGGTTACATGTGCGCTGCTCTGTTAAAAAAAAAAAGCTCCTTTTCGAGGTAACCATTTCCTATACTTCCATGTAAAAGCAACAACAACCAACAAACTGATCTCAAGCGTTAAAGTTTTCCCTTCTCTCTCTCCCTCTCTTTCTCTGAAAAAAACTGTCACAGCCACCATTTACAAGTAAAAGGGTGTGGGAGTGAATCAATAAGTGAAGGAGGTAAGTTAAAGTTATTAACTACTACTTCATTATATACATTAAATAAATATAGAGTTTGTCTTGATTCTGGAATAGATTTGCTTTTCTTTTTTCTTATAAAATTTTAAACCCTATATGGCAGATCTGTGCAAGTTCTCCAAACTGAAACTTTACCAGTACGTAGTACTAGCTAGATATATCCTCTTTTTCCTCCTTGGTTCTTGTTTATATAGTAGAGTACCCATTTCTTCTCATCAATTATCAAAGGTTTTCTTTTCAAAGGTTATCATTAGTTGCATTTATTTTATATCTCTATCATTAGTTTTCCTTAATTTTAATTCCTTGCTCCTCCTGAACATTCATGCATATGCATATTTGTTTCCTATGCATATGGAACCTTCTTTTTGGTTTTCTGATCAATTAACCCTAAATTTCTTACTTCTTTCAACTTATTAACAATAATTTTTTATATTATTGTGTGGAGGAAAAGCATTTTGCAGCCTACTGACAAGATTCATTATGTTTTTTAGTAGGCAACCACACATTCAATTTGGGGATTGTTTAATTTTGCACGATCACTTATGACATTTTCCATACATAGGATATGGATCTTAAAGCTTTTTATCTTCATTTTTGACAGCTCTTTTTTTTTTTTAAAGTGTCATCTGCATTTCAAATTGTAGAATATACTTCATTTTCTATATCAAATTGAATACATATATAGATAGATTCATCTACTAAAATTAACAAACAATTTGGCTTTTTTTTGTTTCACATTTGGGGGATGATTTTATTTGCAAAGTTTGCAGATTAGTACAAGGTTTCAACTACTAATATAAAATTAATATGTCGCCTGACTCGGTCCCTGATTCTTTTCCACAACTTGGAGGTAATAATTTAGTGGACCACATACATGTCTAATGTGATTTGCGACAAAGCCATTCTGGTTCTTCATGATGAACATCGATCTCTTGATTCTTTGAACTACACTTCAATGATTATATCACTATATGGAATATTAAGATTCCATTATATTGCCTTTTCCTTTCCTTTTTTGGTAACTATTTCATGAAACTGAGAGAACAAAGCATATATAATGTCCACTTTATAGACTAGCAATTAAAATTTCCCACCCCTAGTACTAGATACATATGCATAATTTCAGAGTAGTGGAAAGGTTGTCAAAACATCGTTCACAAGTTAACCCCTTTTATAAATCTTCCTTATATATTTGTGGACTCATTTCATCTCTGATAATTGCTTAATTTTGCCCATATTTCTAATTAAAAAACGATGATAATGAAGGCCTTCTTTACCTCAAAATCATGGTTAAAAACTTGATTAAAAACGTTGAAATTGAATCAGTAAAAATCAGTTGAAGATAAGATTACATTTAAATTGCCCTTTGTATATTGGGGAGAATAATGATCATAACCATCATTGAAGCAGGAGAACAAAAGCCATAAATAATTGAAGTTGACAAACCAATTATAAAGCCGACTCGCTTCCATTTTTTTTTTTTGTTTTTTTTTTGTATCCTAATGCTAAACGTAAGTTTATAAATCATTGGTTCAAAGACAATGGCAATCGTGTTTATCCATAGCACTCGAACTTCCAATTGGCAAAGTTGCGATTTTGGTGGGGGCCCATTCTTATTTGGATCCTTCACAAATGAAAGGAATCCATACAAATTAGTTGTACTTGTATGCGGCTCGACAAGCCATGTTCCAATTTTGGGCTTACATATCTTGCAGAAAATTGCTTTACAATTGAATAGTGGGTTGATTGATATATCTTCTAATCAGTTTTTACTTTTAATTTTTAGATTTTACCTTTGCAACTCATTTTACTATATTTGAAGAAAGTAGTGGAAGAAAAAAAACGAATATCAGACATTTACTTGCTCAATAAAACTAAAGAATGAAGAATTTCATTGCAAATATAAATCAGTTTATACAAGTAGTGGAACTTCAGAGAATACATAATGAGTCCCACTTATAGATTAGATCAGTAAAAAATACAAGAAAATGGTAAATTTGACTCCATCGCCGACAAAATTTGTCTTCATCTCAACCTCTTTCGTTTTTCCGCCTTCACCTACAGAAACATATATATGCTAAGCTTAATGAAGAACCTAGAAAACATAGATTACAAACCCGGCACATTTCCTTTACATGAAATTTGTGGGGAAGCAAGTGCCCCCTATAGATGCTTTTTCAGCGTTGAGGGGATTAAATAATCTCGACCTTAGCCTATACAGTGGCGAGATTTGTTGTTCCCCTAAATCGATCACTAGTAGAAAAGGTTACAAGAAGCATGAGTTCACCTCAATCACAACTCTATCCTTAGCCGCCGCATTTCAGCTCGGAACACGGGGCTTGAACTCAAAGTTCGACAAGCAAGATTTCTGATGTCTTCTCGAGAACAATCCCGTGATATGCGGACCAGCTCCCAGAGGGCACCTCCACTTATCATGTCCTTTGCATTTACTTCTGAAATTTCAAAAAACAAAGGTTCTTTAAGGAATGTGTCTCACAGGGATTATTTTTATCAATGGAGAAGAAATTCAACTATGCTCAAGAGATTATTTTTACCATGCTGCGCCAAATGACACAGTGCAAGCTCAAGGTGTCGCCTAATAGGTGCAGCATCATTGTTAGCATTTTGTACAATCCATGGAAGTGCACCATCATCAATAAGAAGTGATCTCCCACTTTTTACACCTGGAGTAGGGCACAAGTTGTTATAAGATTATGCTGATGTGTGACAAGAGACCTATGTTGAGACAATTTCGGGCCAGATGGTATCAAGCTAATGATCATGAGAAAATGTTTAGAAAAGAATAAACAGCTTAAATCGGGTGGATTATGGTGATAAAGAACTAATTCCTGTCCTCCCCAAATGATAATTAAAAGGGGCCATTTAACTTCAGCAGTCAACAATCAAACAATGGCATGTAACAGACCGAAGACTTGCCATTAGTTGATGCACGGGATTCACATTTTGCAAAGTTGGCAATTCCACGTGCAACTTGGGAAAGAACATCTGGATGTCCACATCTCACCATCCCCAGCAAGGCCTTAATTCCACCTTCAGACCTCAGCGTTGCTTGTAGCTTATCTGGAAGAAGCATGAGCATGTGTGAGGTAGAAAGAGCAGCCCAGATCAAGCATTACCAAAGAAACAGGTTTTAATTTCATCAACGACTATAAGCATAACTAGAATTTATCCTGGAAGCCTAAATGACAAAGCCAAAGGCACGACATATCCCAGTGAAAGCTGGCCATGCCTCTTCATAACTTAGAAGTGTTCATATCATATATGATGTAATAGATATATGGAATACTCATATCAACATGGAATGGAAGCCGCAAAGTAATGGATGCAATGAATAACCTCGCCATAATCAAGAAATTCTTCATGCAGTAGCTCTATTTAAAGCCCATAATTTACATAGTACTTTGGGATTGGTTATATAATAATAGCAATCAAAATTATACCGATGATGGGATGGTGCCAAAGCACAAAAGCATCTCCTTATAGATATATTTGTTTTACACATTTGCTAACATACAACATCCATCTGATTACTCTCATTTCAGTGCATTTCTGTTATTTATTTACCTGGAGAAGAGTACCTTCCTTTAATCACCAAAGGAAAGGTTATAAAACGCTATAATGTAAGAACCAAAACCTTATTTGTATAAGAGGTGATACAAAAAAAATGCAGTATACCATTCCCACACAGGTTAGCTATAGCTCCAGCAACCATGCGTAGAGTCTGAGGATCCTCAGCATCAGATGCTGTAATAGACAATAAACTGACTCCCCCTTGAACCATTATGAGTTCTTGATTGGCTTCTGCTTTTCATAAAAGGAAACGATATTAAACCCAAGTAGTCAGAACTCAGAACCAATTGGTGGCCAAACTCTTGACGCAATAATACCTATTAAAAACAAAGACTGATGTACTCAGAATGATTAGGATATTTGAAGAACAATTACCATTCATTGCAAGATTCGCAATTGCACCAGCTGCTACTCTGCGAACAGTTTCATCCTCATTGCTTCTCAGAAGCATCAGCAAGGATGTAAGACCACCAGCTTCAACAATCCTTTCCTGGTTTGCTTCTGTTCAGTATACAGAAAGTGCCACTCATTACTCATAAAACAAAGAACAAGTTAAACATGCCTCGTATACATACTAAGACATAAAACAATTTTGTTTATGCATTTATTATTGACAAAGCTTGTCATGTAAGAGGTTTAACTATCGATAATACTTAAAAATAAGGTATTAACATTAAAAGAACTGAATTTTTTTGAACAATTAATCTTTTTATAACAGGGGTAAAGAAGAAGCCTCTTCAGACAAAAAGGGGTGGAAATATTGGCTTGGCCAACCAACACAAGCACGATAGTGAAGTTTCAAAAGCAACAAACAAGGTAACTGCAGTGGTATATTGCTTGATTTTTAATGCTTAAACATTGTGATTTGTTTCACCCAAAAGCACTTCATAACACACAATTAGCACCCGAGGTTCTTCCACAAGCAATTTTTCTAAAAGAAAGACGACGCAATGAAAAGACAACTAATCCATCAGCTCCCCATCCAGGGAAACTTAAGTAATGGCAAAAGAAACCAAAGCTTTTTGCTCACCTTCAGCAGCTAGGTTGGCCACTACTTTTACAGCATGAATGCGTACATTGGCATCTTCTGACTCGAGCAAAGCCAAGATCTTTTGCAGTCCAACTGGTAAATTGACAGGAGGACAGTAAGAGAATGCATGGGCAAAAAATGATGGTTTAAGTGACATTATTGCGAAAAAACCTATTTTACCACCTTGTTCAAATAGTGCAGAAACTGGTGTCTTATGTCCATTTAAAGAGTCCCTTACTTGAGGCATTGGAGAATCTAAACCATTATAAGCATTTCCTGATCCACCTCTTCCAAGACACCTTCTCATCTACACATGTAAAATAAAATGAAACCAGCATAAATGTGTGCTTGTGTTTGAATGCCCAGGATGGACAAGAATGCTATAAATGAAATAGATAATAGTAAATGCACCAAAATTTTCACTCAAGCACATCATAGAAGTGTGATTCAGTCTTTCTAAGCTAAGTTTAACGCAAGCAGCAAAATAATATGATCCAAGTTTTTGATATTGTGACCGGTTATTAGTTCATCATGTTGATGAGAGATGTCAACAGTGGAAAGCTCAATTATTCAACAAGTTAGAATTACATATACATCAGGACATCAATTGTATTAAGAAAGAGAATTCAAAAATGCCATGAAAAGCATGCTTAACTTCTATGATTCAATACCTGGTCAGCTTCAAAAGTTAGTTGTAACATCTGACTTCTAAGTATGATTATTTCTTCTTCAAGCTTCTTTTTTTGATGAACCTCATCCTCTAGAGCTTTTTGGAGCTTTAAGATTTCAGCAACTTCACCTGCCTGTTACACCAAAATAATCCTCATAGAACCAATTTCATATCTAGAAGTCAATAGAAGCTCAGAACTTGATATAAAGGTATTCACTATTCACATAACAAGATACCCCTGAATCCGTGCACTGCCCGAGTTGACTCTTGAATTTGATGACCTCCTCTTCAGCTTCCTTTCTCATATGAATTTCTTTCTCTAGCAGCTTTTTGACATCAGCCACGTCCTCAGCAATGGAAAAACCAGGCCTCTGAAGATAAGAAAAAATATTTTAACACAATACAAACACAAGATGTCCCAAAATCCTATGTACATTAATGGCAACATATTTCCTACAATTACCATTATAGTTTCATCATCATGCAACTAACGTGTACAATAATCAAAACTAAGTCTTTTAAAACCACGATGGATCAGCCATAGAAGGCAACAACAAGCAAAATATATGTATTTCAGAAATTGACAAGACAGAAAAAGCAAAGTTTGAATTCATCATATCTTCCAATAAACTCATGTAAAAGAATCAACTTTGAGTTGTGCTCACAAAAATTGCATTTAGATAGGACAAAAACTTGACTGATGGATAAATTTTAAGCCACGTACCCCAGAGAAACAAGAAAAGGTATGGCCCAGCAGTGGGCATGCTACTACATCTCTAAAATGACATTTAAACACAAGAAAAATATGTAATGGTAAAGTTGGGAAAATAATGCACAATACCTTAATGATGTTATGAAAAAGAAAGTGCATGCCTATCATCAAAAAGGGGCCCAACTGGCTAGCCATGAATTCACATGATAAACTTGACATGACATGAGATATGGTTCTTGATGCAAAGTACCTCTCCATTACATTTATCCTTCTCGAAACCATCACAACCATGCTTTCGTTGATTTTCTATCATCTTTTCCTCCAGCTTCTTAACTGATCCCATATATTCCATCTGGCACTTTAGTCGCTCCTTCTGTAAAAGGAGCACACTAGGAGTTCAGTATCAACATAGCACACTCTCGAGCAAGTAATGCGTTTTAAGAATAACTGAAAATAGAAAACCATGAGGTTAAAGAATCACCCATCAGGGTGAATGATGAATTGCTGAACTAACCTCTAAGGCATCTGTGAAATTTCTCTCAACCTCAGAGACACGGTTTTGTGCTTCTAAGTTTATTCTTTCAACTTCATCATCAAAAGCCTTCTGTTGCCTTTCATTTTCAGCAATGAGCTTGTCCAGCTGTATTTCAAGCCTTCTAGCCAAGCTTTTATAATCAAACTCTTCCTTTATTCTCAACATATTCTCCACCTTCATAGCCTGTAAGAAACGTAGTGACGCAAATTTTTATCAAGTAAAAGCATCTTACTTCTACATATATTAGAGACAATATTACACGAGACACGAAGAAATGAACAGACGAAAGGAATCTCATGAAATGTAGTCAAGATAGTCAAACAAGAATGAAATTTAGCTCAAATATAAAGATGATGCAACTTGACCAAATTGCCTTTACTTTATAATATTAAGTCGTTTGATAACAGATATTACATATAGTAAACACATGATCTAGTTTGAGCCCTTTTTGGTACAAGAACTCACCCTTTGACCAAACAATATTGTACTCGCAGTCTCTCCTCGATGTCGTGGGGAGGGGCCAATGGTCACAATTAATGAGGTTCTAGCAGTGCCTGCAACACATAGAATATACCTCAAACTCCGAAAAGCATTCAACTTGCTAGAAATAAAAATCAAAAGAAATTCATTAAAAACTAAAAGATTTAGATCATAAACATCTTGTACATAAAAGTTTAGTTCAGGTTAAAATGAAGCCCAGGCACATGTCAACTTACATGAACATAGAAGATAACTCACCTCCAAATGAATCTCTAAGCAGCCTCGTAAGTTTTGAATCACGAACTGGCACATGAGCACTATTCTCTGCTAAAGCATTAATGCACTTTCCCAAAGCACTCAGTGAAAGGTTAATAGACTTGGCTTCCTCCAACATGTGTCCCTCACTTCCTGCCAAAAAGCAAAATGAATCAAACTCATCATCTACCAAAACGATCCAACTCATAAGTAAGGCCAACTCTAGCACTTGGGAAAGCCTACAGGTATATAGGTAGGAATAAGAAGCAAAAGTTTATCTGACAAAGACATAAATACCGGCCAGATGCAATGCTTAAAAAGTTTAGTTGGTGAAAAGAAACTCTTTAAAATGCAGTATGCAATCGACTTGCCACTAGAGGTAAAAAAATGGCCATGGTATGCACCTGATTTATGAACACGCTCTGAACCAGCCAAGTCTACCAAAACCAGCTTGCTTTTCCGGACAAGAGTCTTTGGAGGTTTGACAAAGTGAGAAGACTTGTCTGTTTCACTTGGAATGGCATCTTCTGCTCCCAAAACTGATCTCTTAACATGTACCTGCACTAACATGGTCGATATATAATATTTCACTAAAGGATAATACAAAGGCATAAACAACTACAGCCTACAGGTAGGATAATGAAAAATTGCCCCACAGAGACCAGGAAGGGCAAGAGCAGGAGTGAAAACTTAGTCACCATCAAAATAGCATGACTGCGAGAAGATTCAGTATTCAACTTTGTATTTGCAGCAATTCGATGAGCTTCCCCTAACTTCAATAGCTCCAAAAAACTCTGTTCATCCCTAATTTCTACATGACTTGCCCCTGGTAATGAGACATCTCCAGTTTTGGGATCTTCCACAATGGAAATATTATCGTTTGTCGGATCAAGGAGATCCTGGATGGTCTCCATGTAAAGCTACAAGAACAGATTGAAAATAAACTAGTAAAATTCTTACTGAGAAATGAGAACATAGAAGCCCAACAGGAATAGAAACAGAAAGTTTAATAAAAATATCAGACAGCATATAATGGAACCAAAATAGAGCTAAAAATCCAATAAGCAGTTAATACAAGCCATCAATGAAATTGCATTCGGTTAATTGCACAATTGAGCATTAACAGAATAAAAATAATGAGCATAACTACCTGCAAATAAGAAACAGAAACAGAATCTGTTTCCGGAGACACATTTACTAAAATCTCCTCCATTGAGCGGACCATTATTCCACGAGCAGATGTATCTTCCTCACCCAATCGTCCAAGAGTAAATGTTTTTCCAGTTCCAGTCTGGCCATATGCCATAACAGTTCCATTATAACCATCTAGAACACTCTGCAGAAGCAAAAGCAACATCAATACACAGTCTAATAAGATTAAATAAGTCATATCCATAGCACTAGACACGCATAATCGGATTACATTATATTGTAAAATTAAGAAACATTTGAAATGAAACAGACCTCTACAACAGGCTTAGCAACAACTTCATAGACACGCTTTTGCGAAGCGAATTCGGTAAGCACCTCATCAAACTCGTATGTTTCTGAATCCCAATTGTTCTTCCTAAGTTTAAGCCTCTTAAGCTACAGTAAAACAAAAAAAAATTATAAAACGGTAAATGTAAAAACTAATAAAGCGACGGTTAAATGAGGTTGAGAGTTTTGTTTTCACCTCAGACTGTAGTTCAACACAATCAGCAAAATCTGCATCGGCGATCAACTCTTCTGCATTTCGCGGCCTTAATCTAACGGCTACTCGAACTCTTCCGGGCACTGTTAGAAAAATTCGCGCACAATAAAACATGATTATCATAGATTTTCTTTTTTTTTTTGGAATTGCATAATGGAATCAATTAAAGGAAATAAATGAAATACTAACCTCCGTCACCTCCAGCGGCGGTGGCGGAAGAGGCGGAACTAGTTCGGCGAAGAGCAGATCCTTGAGAGTGATTCGACGAAGGAGGAAATCTTGATTTGCATGAAGATGATTTGATATTCGATGAAGCCAGAGGCTTAATTGTTCCCTTGATCGTACCATTACCATTTCGGTTACCATTGGAAGCCATCACTTTCCTGTCTTTTTTTTTTTCACTTCTGGAGTTTTGGCTTGTTTTGGAGTTCAATGGTTTACAGTGACTAATTTTTTGGCGTGGATTTGGGTTCGGTGAATTCGAAGTTCAAAACAAAGTGATGATGACGGACGGACCCACTCTGTTGGGAGAGAGTTGGGAAAGAGACAAAGACAGTCGCAGATTCAATTAAATGGACTTTCTGAAATTACCAAAATATCCTTGTCTTTTTTTTTTTTTCGCCGTGCTTTTCTTTTCTTTTGTTGGAAACGATCCATTATTGGTACTGGACCTTAGTGGGCCTGGGCCGCTTAAATTCTGTCAATTGGTCGTGCAGATGCCAGCGCGGCACTCTCTTGAAATGACAAGATTGTCCTTCGCGTCCCACCGATCGGTAAAGCTGGAAACTTAAAACTGGGAGCCTACCACCGACTTCTGGCTGTGTTTGATTCTTAGATTCGTCGTTTTGGACATATTGGTTTTATTTGCCGAAAAAGACCAAACTAATAAATTTTTTATAATTAAAAATGTATTTACTTTAAGAGAACAATTCGTAAATACTATGAAAATCTGTTTGTCCTAACCTATTGATTTTTTTTTAACAAAAAAAAAAAAAGCATCAAGAGGAAGAGGGGACGACAAGTTTTTGGTAAACTAATAAGATCATAGTGTGTTGTGATTTTACCTAACAATATGATCTCCTTATGAAAACTCGTAAAGAAAAATAATTTAAGTTGGAAGATGGGGAATTCATGGCTATAACAAAGTACTAAACCAATGATGGGGGCCATGAAATTGAATAAACCATAAAAGCACCTCAATCCTCAACTTATGAAATGAAGATGAGATGAGAAATTAAGAATTGAATTATGGGTATGTTTGGTTGGGTTGAAAAAAGTGAAAGGATGAATATAGGTGAGGAAAAAAATGAAAAAAAATAAATTAAATTTTGAAATACCTTGTAGAAGAGAAAAATAACAAGAAATAAAATTAAAAACATGATTATTTTTCATATTTATTCATAAAAACAAATCATCCGATGAATGATAGAGAGGTAAGAAAATAAAAGTCATACAAATCAAGTGTATATCCTTATCAAATTATCCATTATTTTTAAAATTTTATCTTAATTTATAAAAAAATATATTATAATAATATAATATAATTTTCATTTTTTCTTTCGTTACTTTTACTAAACAATGGACAGAAAAAAAAATTATTTTTTCATCTTTTCTTCTAAATATTCTATAAAATAAAAAACTCATTTCACATTAATTTCATTATCTTTTTCTCCTTTTGGTGTATGAATTGACCGTTATTTAAAAAAGGCAAAACAAATAAGGAGGAAAGAGAAGCTACAACGGACCCAAAAAAAAAAGCAATGGCAGGTTTTGCTATATTATTTTTTAAGTCTTACTTTTTTTCAACTGACCAATTAAGGTTAAAAAAATAAATTGATGACAAAATGTTTGCCTTTAAGCTAGTGTTTTACATTTTGACAAAAACCTAATATTTCATGCACGATTATTTAAAATCAATAAAAAAATATGGTTTATCTTTCAAAAAAAAAAAAAACATGGTTTATGCACAAGAGCTGCTTAGCACGTGATACTTAGATTAAGGATGATACCATTAGAATGAGATCATCACCTATTAATCTATTGCTAATTTGGGTGTTGTTAATGTTGTATATACCTTTGTAATTTTAATCCATGTATATCTTAATTTCATAATGATCTATAGCCTTAACAATAATTAATAATTAATCAGATTTCATTTTTTTAACGATATGATAAAATTAAATCAATAATAATTATTCTCATACTTATAATTATCTCACCTTCAATAAAATATATACGTACAACACTTAACTTTTTTATTTCTAACAACTTGAATTTTATTTGTATGATTTAAATTAAAATTTTATATGCAATAGTTAATTAATCTTGAGTTAAGGATAACTCATAACCCACGAAAGAAATAAAAAGGACATGACCATATAATGATATGGAATACAGGTAATCATGGATTAAATAAAAAATGCTTCAATTTGATTTCTATGGACAAATGTAATATAGAGTATCGAATATCAAAACGGTGCGTATTTGCTAACATCCAACTGACCCACATGGCTTCATAAATCATAATTCCAACTTCAATAGTATTTCGAAATCAAGGAAGCATAAAGAGCAGGAAAGAAGAAAAATGAAGGGAAAAAAATGGTGAGAGCGGAAAGTTATATTAATATATTTTAATATTTTAAAATTAAATTTAAATGAAAAACAATTATCTAATTAACCAAATGACAAAAGGTTAGAGGTTTGCTGCATACTGCATAGTACTCAAATTGTAACTTATTTTTAATATGTCACAAACAATAAATTATTTTTTTTTAGAAAAAGATGTAATTAATGTAACGGTATTCATGGAACAACCTTGAATTTTGAATTATGAAAATGAGACTAATCCATAGGCCATCATAATGTATTTTCTTTAAGTGAATTTATAATCATGTCAAATTGGATACAATATATTTTTTAAAATTTTAATTATAGAAAAGACTATTATTGCTGTCACTAATTATTTTTATATATGAAAGATAAAAAAATTGAAATTATTAACAAAAAAAATTATTGGCCAAAAAAAACCAAGAAAAAAGCCAACGTTTCAAACCGACAAATGTCTCGATCATTGTTTGGAAAATAAAATAATAAAATAAAAAAGGCGTGAAAAGGGGAGAACATGACACTACAGAAGTCAAAAAATAAATTGTCTAATCCGCATGCAGAAGTAGGCACAAAATTACAACATTAGACAATAAGACGCTTCCTAATACAAAACCCTAAAAAAACACATAAATTCAAGCAGCCTCCATTGCCTTCCCCACTCTTCACCGCCCCGTCAGTCTACAACTATACTGCCACCGCATCACCGGAATCTGGCGTCATGGATCAAAGAGATCACAGTCACGTCAGCTTCTCCGCCATCTTTCTCCGTTCTCTCCGACCTGCTATCTCCCTCACGATTATCACCACTATTTCAACTGTCATCACCATTACCATTCACTAAAAAAATCTGTATCCTTCTCACAACTTCAAAGTATATAGACTGTGACTGACGCCAAATTCAAGCGTTATATACAATATTCTTGTTCGGGCCGGGTCGGGGCTAATCGTGATACGACTTGGGGTTTCTGTTTAGCTGTTCGCTTGTTTGTGCCATGGCTATTTTGAAGAGCTATGGCGTGTCCTTGAGAGAATCTACGTTACCCTTTCCGCGTCCGAATCGCCCTGATAATTATAAGAGGTTTGCAACGCTCTCTTTTAAAATAAGATATTGTTTTTTTTTTTTTGGTATTTAATTGTAGTAGTCGTTAAATTAGTTAATTAAATTATTTATCAACGTTATTTGTTCGCTGATTTGGTATTAAGTGGAAATTCTTTACGGCTTCATATGGAATGATCATGAATATTCCTTTCTGTGTCATCTTTGTTTGCCGGTTTCTGTCTTTGTAAAACAGTTGATTAGTACTTGTTTGAAAATTTTTGTTTTGTTTGATTTATTGCTGGCTGGGTGTTAATGAGAAGCAAGGTTAATCTCGGTTCGAATTTACATCTGCATAGCTTATTTGCTCATCATTTATTTGTTTGCTTTGTAGCAGGAGAAATGTAAAATGGAGATCCCCACAAGCAGCAGTAATACCAAATTTCCATCTCCCAATGCGTAGTTTTGAGGTTAAAAACAGGTTATCAATAAACTTTATACCATCTGAATCTGATTGATGTTTTACCGGGTAGAATTTGTTGTTGATTTGCCTATAGTTGCTCAATTTTTGCGATAAGGACTGCATCTGCACGTATGTTCCAGTTGCATTAAAGCAGTTCCTGAAATGTCAACCTTGGCAATGTCCTTGTGTCTTTTTGTTGCTTGTTCATGTAGATGCTTAGGACGTGCGGAGACATTGTTCTGTTATTCATACCTTTATCTAGAGGTGTACTTTATTATACTCTCATGGAGTCTTGTAAGCAACACAGGATTTAGGCAAGATAAATATAACTGAACAACTTGGTGTTGATCCATGCACACTTCCGATTAGAATCTCTTCACACTTGTTATTGTCTTATGTTTGGAGTTGGTAAGAGTGTAATGCACCATGCATGGATTAGTTCCGTGATGATGGTGCTGTGGTATGCATTTTCACTGTGTGATAAATTTGTGGTGAATGTCAATTTGTTGTTATCCTAATTGATGCAGAGTTGGTTTATCTACAGCTGCAGATTGTTGTTGAGGGTAGCATCTTTTTGGAAATGAACCTTTTTTTTGAAAGAATTGCTGCTGTTGATGACTTTGCTTGCTTTGTGCTTTGCAGGACGTCAGCAGAAGATATAAAATCTCTTCGATTAATAACAGCCATCAAAACCCCATATCTACCTGATGGAAGGTTTGATCTTGAAGCATATGATGACTTGGTGAATACGCAAATTGAAAATGGTGCTGAAGGTGTAATTGTTGGTGGCACAACCGGTGAGGGTCAGCTGATGAGCTGGGATGAACACATAATGCTTATTGGTCATACTGTCAACTGTTTTGGTGGATCAATTAAGGTAATTGGTAACACAGGAAGTAACTCAACCAGGGAAGCGATTCATGCAACTGAACAAGGTTTTGCTGTTGGAATGCATGCTGCTCTGCACATCAATCCTTACTATGGCAAAACATCTCTGGAGGGCTTGGTTTCTCACTTTGATAGTGTGCTGCCAATGGGTCCTACCATCATATACAATGTGCCATCACGAACTGGCCAAGATATTCCCCCACGTGTCATCAACACTGTAGCACAGAGTCCTAACTTGGCTGGTGTTAAAGAATGTGTTGGAAATGACCGCATTGAGCAGTATACAGGTAATGGAATTGTAGTGTGGAGTGGGAACGATGACCAGTGCCATGATGCTAGGTGGAGCCATGGGGCCACCGGGGTAATTTCTGTTACAAGCAACCTGGTTCCAGGCTTGATGCGAGAACTCATGTTCGGTGGTAAAAACCCTTCACTTAATGCGAAGCTCTTACCTCTGATTGACTGGCTCTTTCAGGAGCCTAACCCCATTGGCCTTAACACAGCCCTTGCACAACTCGGGGTTGTGAGGCCAGTTTTCAGGTTACCATATGTACCTCTTCCCTTGGCAAAGAGAGTGGAATTTGTTAATCTGGTCAAGGAAATTGGGCGGGAGAATTTTGTAGGAGAAAAAGGTGTCCAGGTTATCGATGATGATGATTTCATCTTGGTTGGACGGTATTAATCAGTTGTCAATGTTCAGGACTCCAGTGTTGTGTCTCAATTTCAAGTTTGCAATTTCACATTTTCGTTTATAAACTTACAAATAAAGTCTACCTGGTGGTTCAAATTATGACAGAAAACAGTAGTACTATACATATGGTACCAATATGATGCCGCTGGAACTGGAATTGAATATTGCCCACTTGGACTGATTTGGCTTGTATCTCTCTGCGTCTCCATTTATATAGGAAGGCATAATTGTTTTTGGGAAGAGTCAATTATACCTATAGCAAAACATCTGTTAGCCAGCATCTTCAATATTAGCTTGCTTTGAAAGGATGGTGCTTTGATTATCTAGTTCTTTGATCCAAAACCATCCAAAATGCAAGCAACAATTTGTTGGTTGTAACTTGCAAACAAGTTTCATACCTGATATTCTGCTGTAGCAGCTTTAGTGCAATCCACGCAACGCCACCCATGGAATGTGCTTGTAGTTTGAATTGCAAGATAATGTTTCCTACCTTTTGGAGGGGGTTAGAAACATTAGTGTGCACTGTGCAGTATCTTCCATGCCTTCAAAATCCTTATATTTTCTAGAATGGAAGATTCGCTACATTGGAGAAGCAAATGGGAAGAAAACATGGAAGTACCGGAAAGGAAACGAGAAATCTCAGCCGTGGGCGTTCTTTGATTTTTATTGAAAGGTGTTCCTTTTTGTTTTGAGTGTAGCTATTTGTACCTTAACAATTATTCAATGGGTTTTTGCTTTTAATATCTAATTTTCTATTCAATACACTTCATATTCAAAATACAAATTTATCAAAAAAATTCAAACACTTAATCACCCTTTTTCTCACACCTCTCCTACTTTCCCTTCTCTTCCCAATTGAAAATTTTAATGATTTTAAGTTTAATTAAGTCAAATTCAAAGAAAATTTTAATTATTAAAAGTTAAAAAATATATATAATCAAAGATAAATCATTTATTTTTATTATTTTTTGTTTGATTTCATGTTTAATTTCGTAAGATTTTCATATTAAAATATTTAAGTGCGATTTAAAATTTTGAAAATGAATTTTTAAAAATTTTTAGAAGTTTTCGCAAAAAATAAATTAATTGATAGATATTTAAATAATTTTATTAAAAGTTGAATTATAATATAATTTTTGAAATGTAATAAAAAAAATTATGATGTAAATAGAAATACTCTTTTATTTTAAGTAGATAATCATGTCTTTTGGATATGATGGTTTATTTGAAGCCCAGATCCGTGTATTTTGGGGCCTACTTATTAATGTCTCGAGATGTCCGGCCCCATCAAATATGCTGACCCAAGGTAACATGTGGTGGGATTGGGACTTTTCGTATGTGTATAAATAGAAGTGGAACTCTAATTGGTTAATACATCCATTCAAATTATAGTTTTTAACAGATTTAAAATTTAAATTTCAGGCAATCAATATTTAAAATTCATTTATATTTTTAAATTATGACCTTAAATATAGAAGTGCATTTACAATTCATTTATCTATATTTTTAAAAATATAACCATTTACAATGTTAATTCTTTGAACTCAAATTCAGGCTTTAGATAACATGAAATACTGGCCCACACCCTCCCTCCCGCCCGCCACTACACTAAATTAACGAATACCCAAAGGGCAAAGAGCTTCCTTAATTAGAGGGCAAGAGTACTATATCCTTTATTTGGAATACACGAGCAAGGAAGATGGAATCAAAAAGTGCTTATTCATTTGCTGATTTGCTCGCACTTTTGGGCTATAGATAATGGATTTGTCTCTGTTGCCTCTTAACTCTTTTATAATAATCTAACAAATCCCCAGTTGTTGATAAAAGAAATAAAACTTCTCTGTTATATCTCAATACACTCTGCATTAAACTTCTATGTTATATCTCAATACAATTAATACACAAATCAAACTCGAAAATTATTCCCCCGAATCTATAAAAATAAAAAACCAAAAAGAAATGAACTGAGGTTTGAGACATCTAACACTTCCCCTTATGTAATACGTAGTCCATCATTAGTTCTTCCTATATTCTCTCCATCAGCATAGTGCTATATTATTATATGGTACTAGTATTTACTCAAGGCGGATGAGCTAGCGGGCTATTTCTTGGTTTTTAGGAGTGATTTTGGGGATTAGAGAACTTCTTCTGTAGCTGAGCCAACAGGGTTCGGTTCTCCTGTTGAAGGAGAAGAGCTTTCTTCCTCAGCCTCTCATTCTCTTCTATGATGCTTTGGTTCTCCATGTATAGTTTCAAGTTCCTCATTTGCATATCTGTTTTAATATTGCTGACTGCCATCTTCTTTGTTCCCGCTCCCTTCCTTGACCTTCTCCACCTGTTGCATTTTTTTTTTAAGTAGTAAATACTAGTAATAACATTCTTGTTAGAGATAAACATAGAGGAAACAAAGAAAAAGACAAAGAAATATGAAGAAATCCTAACCTGTTGAGTCTTCGAACACGAATGTTATGTCGATTGGAAGAACGTTTTCGACAGAAAGAATGGATTGGAATCGACTCTGAAGAGTAAATGCACATGTTTAAGATTGAGAGGACAAAAAAGGGCTTGTTTTACACAGGGAAAAACCTGAGAAAACAAGAGAGGGTTGGGACCTGGCAGAGATTATTGGGTTATCTTGCGTGCTCCAACAAAGGAGAGAAACCAGGTGTTATATAGCTGGGATATCGTATTTGTATCTGAAAATAAGAAAGAGAAAGAAAGAAAGAAAGAAAGAGATAGAGAGAGAAAAAGAAAGAGGCTTTTCATAGTAATGATGGCACAAGGAGTCATGATTACGAAGGGGCAGCAATAGATGGAAGAATGCAGAGAGAAGATGGAAGAAGAAAAGGGCTTTTCTCTTCTCTTTTCTGTGGCCTTTTATTTTTATTACAAGTACTATTATATTTTTTTTTATCTGATTGAGCGTCTAAAAGACTTAAGCCAAAGGGATTGGCTGGCTTTTGCACACAGAAAAGGACTATTCCCTCTCCATCTTCATTCACCTTTTTGAAGTTTAGAACTTTCCCATTCGGTTTCTTAACAGTTTGGGGTCCTTACCTGTTACCATACACTCCCAAATTTCGAAACAGTTTATTTATCTATTTATTTATTTGTATTTGTGATGGGCTGTAATCAAAGAAATTGGGTAACAAGCAGTTGATGTTATCATTGCTGTAGAAAATTAACCTGGGTTGAATTTCAAACTTGACATGCTCTCCTTGTTTCATGACTCGCTCCAGGGTTCATATTAGTAACAGCAATAAAGTTGTATGCCAATACTATAGCTAATTAATTAGTTCTATCTAATTGTCAAACTTTTAATCCTAGATTGTTGACACAAGTTATGGACACAAGTTTAGCAATCTGATCTTAATCAAACGATCTAAAGCTTCTCACCTCTGATAATTACAAGAGAAGAAAAATTACAAGTTTAAAGATTGAAACTACAAAATTAATAATTAAGAACTAAACTAAAGCAATTACTTTTTTTTTATAGTCAAATATCATATAATTTATTAATAAAATATTAAAATTTTAATTTTAATGATCAAAATTTAGATCATGATAATCTCAAATATATATAAAAAAAATTAAAGCAAAAAAAAAAAAGAAACAGAAGAAAAGCTTGAAAAAATGTAGTCTTTGGGATAGATTTGATTTAACTCTCTTTCATATGAATGGTGGATTATTTGACCAGTAGTATCACCACCAAGGAGTCAAAATAGAAGGGCTAGGGCCTAGGGGTCTTCCAATCATAATAACTAAGGGGGCCAACAAATCGTAATGGATCCCTTAAGTACAAGCTGGATAATTAATAACTAAAATTTTACATTTTTAATTACTAAGTTTGTTAGGAATGCCTTTTGACAGGCGAGCAGCTAAAGGCCAAACTGTTGGATAATCAACAAAATAAAACACTAAACGTGGGCATAACTTCACTGGAGAATTAAAATTCTTATGGTCAAAAAAAAAAAAAAGAAATTAAAGTTTTGGACTTTGGACTTTGGTGAAAAGCAGACAACCCTGCCACAATCTTTCTTTCCTTTACTTTTTAATTGGTTTGGTTAGCCTTTAAGGAATCCTTTACGTCTTGGACTCGCCAAAGTTCAAAACAAATGTAAATCCACTTGCTTTACCCTTATTATGCTTAATCATTTAATTTTTTGTATTAATGTGAAAACATTTGTCAACAACACAAATGTTTTATTAATGTGCTGATGAATTGATTAGCCATGCTTTTGTCTACGCGTTTCTGCATGTCATTTAATTAATTAAAATTAAAATTAATTTTATTATTATAGTAAGAAGTAAGGTGGAGAATCGGAAGGAAAGGGAAGGCACATGGAAATTCACGTGAAAATCACGTGGGGACATACAAAAAGTTGGGTCCATTAGAAGAAGAATCCAAAAGAGAATGAGTGGGGATAATTGAAAGGAAGAGAGAAAGGGCAGAAGCCAGAGGGGATGGGTAATGGGTGAGAATTGAGAGGAGAAGAGGGAGAGTAGTCAATGTGGTTAGGTTCTTCTTTTTGTCCCTTTTTTCTTTCATGTAATTGAGTACCAAAACCATGCTCATTTATTTGGAAAATGAACCCCCCACCCCCACTCTCCCATTTGGACTCATCTCCCTATTTCTTCTTCTTCTTCATCATCATCAAGCATTGGCATCATGGTGAGATAAATGGGGTGGCGCTTCGTTTGGTCCAATTGCACCTCACCCACTTCTTCACTCCCATGGTGTGCGTCTCCTTCAAATGGTGAATTGGGCACTTTGGGCTTCGTCAGCCCACAATTGAGTGGGGACTTAAATCAAGCTCCATCCATCACAAGTCTTTAGATATTTTAACTTAAAAGAACAACAAATTTGCGTTTCATGAAGCAAGGATCAAGGCATAAATTTGGTGGGTACTGTCAATAACTTTCGTGATATGTCAAGAAGTGTAACAAATAAAAAGGAAAAAAAGTTGCTGGTTTTGTCAATAGACTCAATACACATCCAAATGAAATGGGTATTGGCAAATAGAAATAGAAAACCCTCATCATGTTGTTTTGAATATAGATGTTTTAGGAAATTGATGGGGACTAAGACCACTACACTACACTTAGCCTAGCCTTTCACTCATTTCTTGTATTACTACAACAAAGTACTCAAACACTACTATATGGAATGGTATGAAGTAGTCAACAACGAAATGAACCTCCCCTTTTTCATTTCAAAACGATCTAATTATCATATTTTTTGGATTTTTTTTGTTGGTATCTTTTGAATTGAGAATATGAGTGAATGTACATAGAAGTTGCGTTCTATACTCTTCTTTTCTTTCTTTGATAATCTACCTAGTGACTAGTGATGGAGAAGCTAAGACTGTTGGACCAATCGAAATGTGGAAGCCAAAGTGAGAGGAAATTATTATAAGGTGAGAAAAATAAATGAGTTACGAGAGCAACGTTTTGGATGATGGGTTCACATACACCATTGATAATGACAATTGATGAGCGGTGGAGCAGCTCTTACCATGTGGTCCAAATCACCATGTCCATACTATCTAAATTTCAAATTACAAATCCATGAACATCTTGACTCTTCATTATTAAATGCATTTTTTTTTATCATCATGACACCTAAAAATATTGCACGAATAAATATGCACATTGTTGAATCAATTTATAGTAAGTAAGCTTTACAAGGGATTTATGATGGTGGTTGGGTTAAAAAAAGAGAAAGTGATTTGAACTTAATTTTATGTCAACTAATTCAAAATTTTTTCTTTTTTCATTTTTTTCCACGAACTCTCTCTTTACGCAATTAGAACTGGCCCAAGATCTTTTTTGAACAGGATCAGAGTCTGACGCTAAAGCCTTGCAGTAAACCCAACAACCAGGCCATGGGCCTCTGGCTCGTTAAAATCACTCCGTCTTGCTACTGTTATGGTAGTTATGTTTTGTTTGATTAAAAAAGTGATCCTAGGCTACAGGTTGGTAAACTCATCGTTGTCTCTGACTTTCGAGGTCCAAATCACCGGAAGAGATGGAAACAGCTTGAATCCAGCCAACTTTGACTTTTGCATTCCCTCATCCCTCTTCTCCTCGTTCTCTTATTCCCACAAATGAAAGGGCTTAGGAAAAAAAGGCCGGCCAATTCTTGAGCTACCAATCACTGTTTTAGAAACCGGATTAGATCGGATGGTTTAATTGGCTTCTTAAACGTAATAATTTCTGCCCATCTTTTCTCCCATCATCCCATGTGACTGTGTGGAGTCATAGAAAAAACTAAAATGTGAACAGTATTCGCAGAAATTCCGCATGAGATCAAGCATTTGAATGCTGCTTCCACTGAGTAATGCTACACAAAATACTCGAACCATGCATACCTATTAGATCTTTACTTGTTAGGAATTGGGTTGAGCCACATTCGCACCCGATATACATCTTTACTTGCAATGTGTTAAATAATGTCAAGGTTGTCCTGTGAGGAAGGGCCCTATGTACATCAAAACGAACTGGAAACCGAAGGAGATGAAAATGAAGAAATTGAAAGAGATAAGGATCAAATCTAATATACCATATATAGAGCTTACCTCCATACCAAATACATGATGAAAGATGAACCTTTAAGATGACCAAGATTTACATTCTATATAGGCATGCCTGTTACCCAACGGAATCTTCACCGGTAGTTTCATGATCCTCGTCCATTACATCATTATGCTTTTGATCCTCATCAGCCTGGAGGCTACCCACTGTCTCTGCATCTGATACTGATCCACTCTTAGCAGCTATTTTGTTATTATCATCTTCATCGCTGTCAGCACAATCCTCGGTATCCGAGTCAGAAGTAAAACTCTGGTTTTTCCCCTCTTGATCAAAAGCATCAGCAGTAGCTCCCCTAAATTGCTCCTTTAAATCAGGAGCCACAATTGCAATCATTTCACTCAATGCTTGTCGTTCATCCTTACGTCTGGAAACAGCAGCCTCAGAAGATGGTGTACTTTGACTCTCAGCTACCAGACCACTAGAATCATGCAGAGCCATGGCACGATCCTCATTATCGTCTCCGCTCTTAGGTGATTCATTTTCTCCATGGACAGAGGGATTAGTACTATAAGCCCAACTCCCAAAAACTTCGGAAGCTAAAAGGTCTTCTGTCCTTATTGTGCCTCCAGCTTCTGTGTCTTCCATGGATTTTTGAGTCTCAAGAGGTTTATTTAATTGAGAGTGCATAGCAGTATCTGGGTAAGTTGTTTGAATCCGTTCATCGCTTTCAAGTGCATTAGTTTCATAATCAAACTGCATTGTATCTCCATCTAAAGTTCCACCCATGTTCAAATCAATATTCCGTTCAACCTCGTTTCCTAAGCTTTCAGTTTCAAGAACACGCTCTGTTCCAATGGTATCTCCTTCCAGAACAGGTGCTGTACCAACACCATCAATGTCAGAGCCAAAGCCACCTTTAACAAAACGATCAGCACTGGTAAATTCTGCCTCCTGTGTGTTTTCACCAACTTCTTGACTTCTCATGCCACAGTCATGCTTTTCAGTAACACTGGCCTCATCACTAGAAATATTAACCCTCTGCGCTGACGCAGTGGATCCTCCTTTTGTGGTACTGTTCCCATGATAGCTAGTAGTAGCCTTTTCTCTAACTATGGTTCCATTTGCATTCCTCATTTGTACACTTAGGTCAATATCAATAGAGGTATTCTCATAATTTTCCTCATCTTCCAAAGTTCTTTGCATTGCCTTCAGTTGCTCCTGTTGCTTTGCAAACAGTACAGAGATTTCCTCAGTTGTGGAATAAAATGCCCGTAGCTGTGTTTCTCTGCAGAGGAACCACATAAATATCAGCATGCCAATCCAGAAACCCAAAAGATGTATGAAACAGCATTGATGTTAACACCGGAGGCCACAATATACAAAAGGATAGAACCTTGATCAGCAAAATGCTTACACGAGTAGTGCAACTAAAGATTAAACAATAGCTATTATCACAAGTCATACCGAAGCATAATTCTTTCCCTAGCACCTTTAAGCCTCCTTCTCTCATAATCAAGATCCCGCATTGCAGCATTTATTTCAAGCTCAAGAGCAGAAACTTTAGCCCATGCTTCTTCTCGGGCTGCCTGCTACCAACAGCAAAGGAAACCTCAGCTTAACAATAGAGTAACTTTGTAAAGATGACAACGGAAAGGTCTGTGTACCCAGATTGATTTATTTTAGTTGATAAAGGTGTATCTAGATGAATTTAAACAAATCAAATGTAGTTTGTTCAGATAAATAATATTCATAACATGCAACATCCATTTTCCTCTTTCTGCCTTCAAATGCTGCAGGCACAATCCAGCTTGACATGCAGACTGAAAGTGATAGCAAGTTATCAACAAAAGTAATAAATAATCTCAATCTTGTACAGCACAGAGAATGTGCAGAAAGTTCATATCAAACAATATAACATCATAATTAAGTAAAAAGAAAATAATATAAATTTATACCTTTTCAGTCTCAAGCTCTTTCCTCAATCGTTTCATTTCATGTTCAAGTTCTTCCACTTTCTGCTCAAAGAAACATTAAATGTCAGATTCTGAATCTGTTCGCATATGCTTGTCTATAAAAGCAGGCACAAAAAAACATGTTTACTCTTCTTGCATTTGCTGAGGCCCGTTGTGTTTCAGAAACCTGAGTTTCTAGTTGGCGAACTTTATTATCGGAGTTGACCAATTTCTGCCTAGTGTCTTCCTGCAGTATAAGATGCAATCCTTTCAGAATTCAGATGAAGTCCTAATATAATGTATTTAAACTTCAAAATCAGATGGCAATGCAGACAATACCAGCTTGGACACTAGACCTTCCACTTGTGAGGAGCTCTTTCCCAGTGCTTCCTAAGAATGGAGATGCACAACATTTAATTTCTCAGTTCTTTTCAAATAACTACACATGAAGGAAATCCAAGCAAGCACAAGAAGAAATCATTCTGACCTCAAGCTTATTAATTAATTCTTGTTGCTCTTTTTCTCGTTTTAAAGCAACATCCGATAGTCTTTGCAGTTCCTCTTGAGCCTCTGACTGAGCTCTTTGCACTGCTGCTTTTAAATCAACAGCAGCCTTTTCTCGTTCTTCTCGTCTCTGATCTCGCTCTTCATCTAACTGAGCCTTGAGTTCAGCTATAGATGCCTTCTGACTAAAAGTATGAAAATGGACCATTATATCTTCTCTTCTATTTGGTGCCATGAAATGCCGAAAAGTAATAAAGCCAACAGGAACTTATTTCTAACCTCTTCATTCTTTCATTTGCTTCAGTACTCGACTGCATGGAAGCACCAAGTCTTTCATTAAGGTCTTCTATAGCATGCTTTTGTTCAGCCGATATCCTATTGACCTCTACAAGCTCCTTATGTTTAACATCTAGCAAAAATTTCAATTCTTTGAGTTGATCAAGGTATGAATTTGCAACTGATTCTTTTACCTCTTTGATTGCCTGCAGAAACAGATAAGAATATATCTAAATCACCAAGGATCACAAAGCAATAAAAGTAATTCGTCAAAAGCACACAAAAATGACTTACAATTCAAATTCAATCAATGGCATAAAATCAGAAAGAGGTCCAAGAAATATCATTAACACCTCATTGGCCATTGCACATTCATTTTCTATCTTTACAAAAGGTCATGGCCATCTGAACTAGTTACAGTAGATTGATTGCCAGTAATGATTATATATAAATACGATATATTTTCATGTTGAAAGTAGGTACAACCACAATTAGTTATAACTGCATGAAATCAAAGTCAAATGCTGCATCAATTGAATTTATGCCATTAACAGAAACCACATTATCCAGTAACATAGATACTCAGCTGAACCAACTCAAGAAACCCCAACATAGACATAAATCAAAGAGAAAAGATAGGTCATAATCCATTATAAGAGCATACATTTTCATGATGCTCAATGGTTGCACGGTTCTCATATCGTAATGTATCTATTGTAAGCACTTGATCTTCTAATTGCTTCCTCAATTCCTGCATACATCAGTTCTCAGGATTATTTATTGTGAGACAGAACTTAATGGTGGGGCAATCAATAGACTCATGAATCCGAAATAGGATACCCTGTTTGACCGCTGAAGACTCCGAAAATCATCAAGAGATATAGGACCCTCAGGAGCACCAATGCCAATACCTTTTTGTCTCTTGTTTTCAGAAGCAAGCTCATCTGCACAATATGGGATGAACAGTAAAACGTTTGAAGTTTATAAGGGGCAACTGTTTCACATAGTAGTGGCTAAGTAAATCATTGCTTGATAAGAAAGGACCAGAATCTAGACGAAGAAAATGAGTCTAACAGCTAGCCACTAATATTGTTATGGACATCATTAGTTCTGTAGATTTGAACATACACATCTAGTATTTAGCAGATTTAAAAGTGTAATAACACCAATGTTCAGGTAATGAAACCTGCTGATTGTTTTGTTATTGTTAGGAAATTTAAAGATAGTCACTGCATTTATTCCATGGTGAAATATATATCAATTTAATGGAAATTTTAACAGAAAGCAAGGTGGAAATAAAAAAAAAATGAAAAGTCTGAACAGAAATGGCATGAAAGTTTAGTACATATACCTGCTTTTCTTTTTGCACATGCATCATCTGCAGCATGAGCAGACCTAAGAACTTCTCGATATACAAATGCAAATGCAAGTTCTGTAACCAAGATGGTAGTTACTTTATAAGGCATTCAAAACCTCAAACCTCATTTGAAATGAAAGAAACAAAGAATAATTGGATGCTGTTATTTGAAATAAAAGAAAAAGGTCAAGAATGATAGGTATTAGTATTACCATGTTGTGGAGGAGCAGAAAATGAAATGATGTCTCCATGTTGGATTTTCATTTCAGGACTATTCTTTCTCAACCTCTCCCAATTAAGATATGTCCCATTTGTGCTACAAAGACGCATACTGTAATCAGAATTTAGAAATACTGAAAACCCAACAAAAGAAATCACAAACAGCACACTAACCTCATATCTTTCAAGAAAACAGATGCGTAACAGTTAGACGACTGCTGCCTATCTTCATTGGTGACTCTCTTCCTATATATTTTGCAATGTTTCGCGCTAACTGAATTTGATTCAATTCGAAAACTCGTATCCTCTACTAATCGGCCAATGCAGTGCTCATCTGCAGTCAAAAGCATATTCATACCCTGGAAAAATGATCTTCTCATCAGCCTTTCACTTACATTGTATATTACAATTTTCAGTCTAATCTTTTCTTTCCTTCTTTTTTTTCCCTAAATCCTTAAGCAATTTTAGCAAATCTTTTCTTTCATTGGTGACTCTCTTCCTATATATTTTTGCAGTGTTTCGCGCTAACTGAATTTGATTCAGTTCGAAAACTCGCATCCTCTACTAATCGGCCAATGCAGTGCTCATCTGCAGTCAAAAGCACATTCATACCCTGGAAAAATGATCTTCTCATCAGCCTTTCACTTACGTTGTATATTACAATTTTCAGTCTAATCTTTTCTTTCTTTCTTTTCTTTTCCTAATTCCTTAAGCAATTTTAGCAAATCTTCATCTCGGTTTAATCAGTTAGACAATTCAAGCCCAAAAAGAATTTCAAACGACGACTTATCATATGATGCAAATAAAAGGTTGGAAATTTACTGACAAAAAAAGGAATATTTACTGCCAAAATAAAAATAGAAGAGAAAAAAGAGAGAAAGGGTTTAGGGTTTAAAAAGAGGGAAACCTGATGTCGTCTGCGGGAATTGTTAGAGATAGCGGTGAGAACGCCCCAAACGTTGGGATCGTAGGTTGGGAGAGGCTGAGAGGAGATGTTGGCGGCGACTGAGACTATGAACTGTTTGGGACTCAACGGCACATTTGAAGGCGGGGAGGTATCGTTTTGCTTGAGCTGCGAAGACGCCGGTTGGGACACATTCTCTTTGGGGTTTGGACTGGGCTTTGAAGAAAATGGAGTCTCTGGTTTTTCTTCTTCGCTGGGGTCCATTGATGAGAGTAGAGTGCGTGAGTAAGCAAAGTCAATAGAACCAAAAATGGCGGGGATTTTGAAGCCCTAATAGCCTTTTTTGATAACTCGGGCTAGTAGTTTGTTGCGTTGGAGAGAAGCTTCTTGGAAGAGTCTGATTTTGTTTTTGTTACGAGTTCTCCTGACCGTTTGATTAGATCAGCGGAAAGCGACTCTTCGCCGTATCAAAGAATCGGGCCCACCAATAATATCTCCACCATGATCAAATTACCAGTGTCATTATCTCTTCGTTATTTTCGGAAAAAAATAAAGCGTTGAGAAAAATTAAGATGTGAGAAGAAGAAATATCCATGACCGTCACAAGTTTAAAGGTCCACCGCATCCTAAAATGGCTTCAAGTGTAACCTTCGATTGTTACAAATTCTGATTAATCTAATTGCTACTATACATAATCATGCAGCCGAGGTTACCGATTACAAACCCTTTTCTCTATATCAAATATTTTCCTTAATATTCTTGCGAATTACTTGAATCCTACAATCATCCATTGTCTTGACAAATTGGACTTCACTAGACTGCAGCTCAACACAATTGAGAAGGCCAGACTAGCCAGCTAGTGGATTAGCATGTATTGTCACACGATTGAGCCTTATCTCTGCAAGAGTGTCGATCACCTGCTCCTGTTTGAGTCTGCATCAATAAAATGCCACTTAAAACCTAGAAAACTACTGAATAAATAAACAATTGCAACTGAAATAGATTTTCAGCAAACACATTTAAAATATTGTGCAATTTGAACTTTTTTTTGTGAGAATGATGGTGAAAGAGAAGAATTGGTTTCTTAAAAAACTATTAACTTAAAAGAGTCATGTTGAATGCCTTTCTTTGTGGTATTTCAGCACTTTCAAAAAATCTAGATTTTCCCTACCTTTTGAGGTCTCAAAATCCTATTTGTGAATATAAGGTAATTCGGCATGAGCTAAATACAATTGCGAAGCAATGGATATAAGAGGCCAAACATAAGACCGAGGTTAATTACACTGAGTAGCCTGGAAATATCAACACAGGAAGCCAAGCGGACAAAGAAAAAGAGTTGTGTGAAAAACTAAATCCTAACAAGAGTAATTGGTCAGAAGGCTACAAAAATTGTCCACAAGACATTCTAAATCAAAGAGAATCAAGCAGGTAATACTCGCGCAACATAACTTTTCCATGAGATCCAGAACTTCAAAACCATGGATCACGTTGCCAAACACAGTGTATAATCCATTGAGATAGGGCTGCTTTGCATAAGTTATGAAGAATTGGCTCCCATTAGTGTTAGGACCACTATTAGCCATTGACAATATACCCCTTGTAAAATTAGTGTTAAGACGACAACTTTTTGTCAAAATTAGTATGTCCACATGTATACTATATCATAACACAGGAGGTTCACAACCAATGAGCTACTCAATGAATGGAACGTGGTAAAAGAAGATACTATCTTGTAACAGAAAATTGAGAGTAAGCTTTGTCGATGCTTGAAAATGACAGAAATCTAAATAGTTTGAAAAGCATAATCATACCAAAACACTTGGGGCAGCTAGGCCAAGATATGTTGTTACATTGGTTTCAAGAAAAGCTGGAGGAAGGGTGCAAGGGCAATAGAAACCAAAATTTCGAACTCGGATAATGTGACCTATAAACAAAGCACAACCTAGAACAGTTAGGCTCCATTTAGTAAGACTTAGACATGGACGTCAAGAATTATGGAAGAGTATAAGCTTGCCAACTTGAAAAAAAGAAAGAAAGAAAACCCACCAACCTTCTCAATCGGCAGGCCAACATGCATGGTGACAAGTTGACATGAAAGAAGAATTTTCTTCTCCTCCCCTCACCCAACCCCCCTAACTCCTGAAGGGTAAAATTTGGGTGACTAAATTTGTTGAAAACACATTAAGAGATTGCATTAGCTAAAGTTCATGATTTAAAAGTTTATTTACATTAGCCATTAGCTTAACAGACCTTAAGGGATTCTTGAATCTCATCATTGAACTTCTTGGCCCATATGCTAGTTCCCCCTTTGCCTGTTCCTGTTGGGTCTCCACCTTGAATCATAAAACCTTTAATATTCCTGTGAAATATAGTCCCATCATAATAACCACTAGCACCGGGTGCGAAAAAGTTCTGCATCCAAATCAAAGATTACTATTATTAACAAGTGATTTAAAAATCATAGCAAAAGCAGTTCATTAAAACAATTTCATAGGAGAACTTTATAAATTATGAAAACCATAAGTCTATGTATAATTATATAAAAATAATGCAGTAAAAAGAAGAAAAAAAGTCTCTTCACTGAAATAACAGCAAAATACTACGCAATCATAATCTCCAACCCGCATAGAATTTGTCTTCAATTTCCCAGCTTTAGGGGTAAAGAAGTTAATTTGCAAACTTTGTTTTAGGGCACCATTTGTTACTATTCTGTTAAGCGAAACTCTAGTCATAATCTAGATTATATCATCTCCTCACTTTATTTCTGAACATCTTAAGCAGCAGAAGCTTCGGCTAGAGCAATTTTTTTTTTTCTTTCAGATAAATGAAATTAAACAACTGAAAAGAAAAAAAAAAAAGGGGGGAGAAATTTTTGGTTTTTGGCAACCCCGTCACAGAAGATCTCGCACTTGATGTCACCAAGATTTGTATGCAAAGTAACAACTACAATACCAGGGGAAGCAGCGATTAATTAGTACCGTTTTGTTCATGTTCCATAAAATTACTAAACAAAAATCACCATATCTTTCTGGCACGAACAGGCTCAGAAGTCAGAATCGCAATGTAGATGAGTTTCTTGGCTTGAGCAAGTGTCTGGTTTCTGGTAATTGATGGGGTGAGTGACTTAAGCTTCGAATTCGTGCGATTTCGAGATCCGAATATTCATTTTTATGATGTTTCAGATCAGTTTCAGTGACAAGTGGTATCAAAGTCAGCCTTAAACCGTTTGATCCACGCCAAGCATCTCAAGAGAAGTAGGCATGATGGTTAGTCTCCATGACGAGGGCGTCACGAGGTTGGGTGCGGAAAAATGTGACGGACTTAAGGAAGAGTCCTAAATCCCACATCGAACATAATAGGAAGGTCATTGGGATATAAAAGGGTTCACACCATTTTCGTCTTGTGAAACGATTTTTGTAGGACAAAACCATGAGACTAAGGGGATCAGAGCGAATGATACCTCACAAGAGTATAAATCATGACAAATAAATTGATCTGAGATACACAAATTTTAAAATCGCGTGAGTTCGAAGTTTAAATTTCGACTTAACATAAGAAACAGGAACTTTCTTCTTCAGACTTCAGATCTGGCCTCATGGAGGTTCAGGGTTCGTGGGCCTAGAGGCTTGAGCATCACCGTGGTTTCGAAGATCTTTCTGGACTGCGGTTCAGACCTGCGCTGGCCCTTATATAAGGACGTGCAATGTTGGTGCAACCTTCAATGCAGATATTGGGTCAGTGGCCAGGTCAGCTGGACCCTATGTTGGATTCAGAACCGCTACGAGTCTACGGGCCACGGCCTACTATTATTTTCTGTAAAAAAAAAAAAAAAAAGCTATAGTACTACATTTATTCTACCGACTATTACTGGCGGGAAATGTTACGGTTCTAACAAACCTTTGAAGTACCTACAAATAGTATGAAATTAGATTTAGCTCTCCTTCCTATATTTGGTCAAATTCTGAATTTGTATATACATTTTCATAAGCCCAACAGGAAAATTTTAATTCTTAATTGTATGAATGTACAATATGTAAAAGTTCGAATCCGTTATTAGGCTCAGATTCATTTACTTTTATTCAAAAAAAAAAATAGTTCAATTAAGTTTTTTATTGAAGAAAAGTTTTACTTTCTGTTTGATGAAATTTTTACTTACAGCTAATAAGATTTGGCTAACGTTAATTTTGGCAGCCAGTTTCAACTTTCAACTAACCACAAAAAACTCACAGAATTCATGGCCGAATATCTCGCACAAAACCGTTTCTAGCTTTATGTTCCCTAAAAGTGCCGAACATAAACCCTCTCTCCCGACCGTAATTTCTTCATAATTCTATATATATAAACGATCAAAGTTATTATTATTATTTAATCTTTTTTAAAGGTGATAAAGATTACAATATTATTATTATTATTATTATTATTATTATGAATTTAAGACATCAACTACGCTGGTCATGAAGCTAGACGTTCAATGGAAGTTAATAACGTAGCGTATGCGAGAATAAAAGAAGAAGAAAATTCATGCAATTCTGGAATTGAATTGCCGTTACAGGAAGAATCCGTTCCTCAAAGCCCTAGCAATGGCGAATCATGGAAAAGGCTGCTGAAGCTGATCGCCATTTGCGTCTCTTTGGCAATTCTGGCAATACCTACAATCAAATGGATTGGACCCTTTGCATTGAGAAAGGTAACTGATCTTGCATTTATTAACATTGTCTTAATCCAAATCTATGTTCCATGTTCATACGCATACGTCATTGCAATTATGTGTCTGTGTTGGCAAGAACCACGTATTGTTTGATCATCAGATTTCATGGTTAAATGATTTCTTTTGTTGTGCCGTAGGTTGTTGTCCCCCTAATAAAATGGGAGGCACAGGCATTTAACAGTTTCGAGCGCGTAATTGTAATCTTTGCTTCATTATCTCTATTCCCAGTCGTATGTTTGCCATCCACACCTTCAATATGGGTGGCAGGGATGGCTTTCGGCTACGGAAATGGATTTCTACTAGTTATGGCTGGGGTAGCTGTCGGTGTATCATTACCATATTTTATTGGTTCTATCTTTCACACCAAAATCCAAGTGAGTTTTTTAACTTTTGTTTCGATTTCCACTTCTTAATTCAATTTACTGCAGATTGTTTGTTTATATGTTGTTTCTACTTTATTTAACATAGGGGCTGTTAGAGAAACATCCAAAGCATGCTTCTATATTGAGACTAGCAGGAGAAGGAAACTGGCTTCATCAATTCCAAGCTGTTACCTTGATTAGAATCACACCGTTACCCTATGTTATATATAACTACGCTGTTGTGGCTACCAATGTCAATTACTGTCCTTACTTGTTGGGGACATTGGTGGGGATGGTCCCTGAAGTTTTTGTTGCACTCTACAGGTTCGATCCTCCTATGTTTCTTGTTTGTAAAACGAGTAGTATAAATTAGAACTTGGTGTAAAACAGCTCTGTAACTTGAATTTAGTTCTGTTTTGCAGTGGGATTTTGATACGATCCTTTGCAGAGGCAACACAAGATAAGAAAACCCTTTCTACGAGACAGATGATATTCAACGTTGTGGGGTTTTGTGCATCTTTGACGGCTACAATTTTCATTGGCATTCACATCAAGAGGCGACTTGATCCGCAACATGAGGAAGAGTTAATATCAGAGTAGTTTCTTTTTGTGCAAGTTGGAGCTTGAAGAAGCTTGATGATTAGGAAACCAAATTCAGGAGGTTAGAGCTTCAAATCTTATTCAAGTTCCATTCCTTGAGGGACATTCCTCTACAAAGGCTCTTCATTCATCTCAAGGATGGCATATTTCACTGGTTTTAGGCCTTGCGGAGAAGCTATAGCAATGAACGGCAATGGAGTGTTTGATACGGATCAGAGATCTTATGCAAGTAAATGAAGGAAGAAAAGGATTTCATGAAGACAACTAACGGACCTTCGATCCTTCCTAGATCTTAAGGTCAAAAGCAAAGAGAACTCTATTGCTTTGACAAACAAATATAAAATCACAACAAATACTTCCTAGTTTTGTCATTGTTATTAGGATTATTGTCGAACACAACTTAGCAAAACAAAGCCATGATGATCATTTTGTTTTCTACACGTTTTCATCTGAGCAAACGAGTAAATTTGATTATTAAAAGGATATTTTCATTTGGCAAAGAGGGGAGAAGGAAAAAATTTTTGTCCAGCAATGTATATGTATATATTTGTCCTCCATTTGTGAATGAATATGGAAAATATGACACATACTAATCAGTAAACGTAAGAAAATTTCAGCTATGCCTACGTTGAAGTAGAAAATTTACATAATTATAAATTCAAGCGCTGAAGTTATCCATCTTCAAGAATCTTTCTGTGAACATGCATGCATGAGGTGCTGCAATACTTGTAATTATACCTGTGGAAGGGAACTTTTCCAGCCAATGATGCATTACAACAGGAGCAGCTAACATTACCTGCTACTCCGCTTTTGGATGGGGAATTAGAGGTTCCAACGGTTGTGCTACTGCCTTGAGCATCCCGGGCAGCTGCTTCAGCAATCCTCCTCTCAGCAGCAGCAGCTCTCTTTTCCCTTTCAACAGCCTGTGCTCTCTTCGGTTCCTCCTGGTTGAGTATAAATCAAGGGAAGGAAAATTAGAATAGTCCAAACATTGCTTTATTTGAGAAGGTGATTTATATTAGAAAAATAATTAAAAAGAAGGCTAATCTGAAAGTTCAGAAGAGAGAATAAGTAACAAATTCAACCAAGTCAATGATAAAATTATGCTATCATGTAATATTATATGCCCCACCTCTTTGGGGATCCGTGATCCACCAACAGGTTGAGACAGTCCCTTGGAAACTGAAGGTACAGGGGCCTGGTTATGTGAAACTGCTGCAGTATTCTGGGATGAGGCAGCCTCAGCCTGCATATTGACATTGAAAAAATGTTGAAAACCAAGTATGACAAAAACTTGGAACCAGGAGATGCAAGTGAAGAAAAAAGGAAACATGTGAAAAAAAAAGAAAAAGAAATAACCAAAAATTAATGATGCAAAATAACTCAGAAGATGCAATGCAAAACAGACTTCTTTCCTGTAAATCATTACAAATATTCCTCCTAAGCATCAACAAATTCAATTCACTGAAGCCTTAGAACATAGCTTCAAGAAAATACCAAATTATAAGTCCCACTTGCCCCTTCCATTCCCCCAGACGGACACATGAACCTTCATTTGCACAAATACAGCAAATTCAAAATCTTTTCTGAACCAATATGCAGCTCAAAATGGAATATCTGATGAACCGTTATATTTTTCTTAATGTTGGGTGCAAGGTAAGAGCCTTTTTCTTCTTTCAATCATATATTCTTTCCTTTTTTTGTGTTTTTTTTTTTTTTTGGGGGGGGGGGGGGGGGGGGAGGGGTGGAGAAGTATGGGGCAGCAGGTTGATACATATTGTCTTCAATATCTCAATTGATTAATGGGGAATATTTACCTGAGCTTTCTTTTCCCTGGCTCTACGCAGTTTCTTCAGTTTCTTTGCTCTTGCTTTCCTCTTGGCTTCTTTCTCTGCCTGAGCAAGAGAAATTAAATGATGGAGACATTAATCAAAACTCAGAAGTGGATATGGAACATAAATATATCAGCAAATAAAGGACCTAAGAAGTCCAAGGACAGCGACAACCAAAGACATTAAGTGATGAGATGTTCCCCAATTGAGAAGAAAATTAATTACGAAAGAGCAAATTCTAAGAACTTGGATAAAACTTTCCATAAATATTTTCTGATGGAGCGTATGGTTGAAGGGGAGAGAAAAAGGTAGCACAATTTAATGATCCTAAGCAAGATCTGGCAGCATAAACGCATAAATCAAAGAAAATGTGCTTCTATTGACTTTAGAATTTCATGATTGATAGTTATCGAAAGATGTTTCTTCTTTATGGGAAGAAAGAATATCTCATAATTGATACTTAAGTAGAGATTTTTATTCTTTACAGGGAGAAAGAATATATTGATTGATATCCATCATGCTTAAGCCATAACTATTAATATTGTTTAATAATGCTTAATCAGAGGTTAAGCAAATCAATGTGCCAATAAGAAAATTCTTCATAAATGCTCTGATACTGGTATGCTATAAAAACAGTTACAAGAGCAAGGAAAAATAACAATACCTGCAGAGCCGCTTGAGATTCCTCCATTTCTTTAGTTAAGGCACTAGGTATTTTAGCAGAATTCCAATCCCACTTATCAGGGTTTAAGGCCATGAATCATCTGAAAGTATTTCTCACTTCCTCTCATTGGCCATCATGTATGGGGTTCGCCCTCTTTGATCCTTAACACAAGGATCTAAACCCTGCTCTAGGAGTTCCCTAACTTTTTCAGCATCTCCAGATTGTGCTGCTTCATGCAAAGATGTGGAAGTAGAAACAACTTCATTATCACTCTCGCTTGATATAACATCAGATTTTACATCAACCGAAGGAATTTTGGAAGCATCCCTATAATTCAAGTTGTGCCCTAATTCCTCTTTGCATGAGTCTTGGTTGCCATTATCAATGGCGCTACCACTTAACAACAAATCTTCTTTGGTGTCTGGTGGAATTTCCTTCTCTTCCACTTCATAGACAACTTGTGTAAGCTAGTTATATATATGCTTGGCTTCCTTTAAAGTGGGCCTACGAACGGTCAATGGATCATTTCGAACAGCACAGAACTGGTGACTGAAATAAGGTTTATTCCCATTAAAAAGCACATTACGATTGCTTGAAGGAGCATGAATGAAAACACAGGAGGAAGCATCAAAATAAGACTTCCAAGAAGCAACAACTCTTGAATTTCCTAAATATTTATAACACAAGAATCCGTCAACCTTTGAACATGAAGAAAAACCATGAGAGTAACAGAAATAAGACAATGTTATTGAATTAAAAGGGTTTTGATGTTTGAAGCATCACTAGAACACTCGCAGGTGATCCTTTACATGGACACAACTGGAAATCTGGATGGTAATAGAACTTTAAGGATCTAATAACAAAAACCAATACGTTAATACCTTCTTCAATGCAAGTTCATTATGCCGCCGGAGTGCAGCTCCCGCAGAATTCGCAGCCTTCCCAGTTGCATCTTTGGATGACTGTTTCTTACCAGCCTTGGCCCTCACCACATATCTACATGATAATGAAAGTGATAATGCATTAACGCTCTATTCCATTAAGAAACAAGATCCTTTCTATGAATAACATTCTAACCATAACAACAGCTCTTAGGAACTCTAGATAAAAATATAAGACAGGCCTGTGGAATGTTTTGTGAGCCACAAATGAGTTACCGTCAAAGATGCACCAGCAAAGTGCCCACCACTAAAGCAGTACAATCCTGAAACTTCTATTATCCTTAGTCCAGGGATTTAAATAGTGGTCGCGGTCATGTTTTCGATCACATCGCATTTATCGCGTTTTTGGATATAATGGAGATCATTGCGGTCATCAAGGTCATCGCGGTCGTGAATTTTTTTTAATTTTACATAATTTTTTATAAAATATAATGATTATAATTATAATCATAAAAACTCTTATTTAATGATTTTTAAAATATATCATACTATATTTTTTATTTTCTAAAAAAAAGTATTCACAATTTTAGTTAGATTATAATAAAACATTCATATATGATTAAGCAACAAAATTTTTGCTTGAGCCAAGTTCATATTCAATGTTAATTCCAGACAAATCAAGATATTAATAAAACATAATATATTAAATACCAAGCATCTGTATTTAATAAAATTACAAACTTAAAAATATAATAATTTCAAATTCTATCAACTATAACTATTGATATATATATTTCAAAATTTACCACATGATAGAATGACGATGATCAAATTCTCTATTTTTATTTTAAGAGTCAAGTTGACTCCATTCCCATTCCTGTGGCCTTTGTTCTTGATGCATTTGAGGATGATATATTTGTGGTAGGAGATACATTTGAGGTGGAGGATACATTTATGGTGGATAATAACTATATAAAAGTGGATAACCATGTGGAGGTTGAAAATTAGGTTGTTCCGGTAGATAGTAATGTCCTTAAGTACTAGCAGATGATTCACTATACTCAAAGTTATCAGAATTTGGTCTCTTACCTGAAGATGAAGAACCTCTAGAAATATCATAATGGTGCTTTTTGGCTTTTCCTTTTGATGAAGCTGTATGTGCACTTTGACCCCCACTAGATTTAGCAGATGGATTTACTCCATATTCTGTCATGTTAATAAAAAGTCCACAAGTAGCAGCAATGCCAAATTCTCCTCCAAGTGGGCTATAAGGTCGATTTGCATTAATATTACCACCAAAATTTGCATCGTCACCATTACCATCACCATCATCTGGACTTAAACCCACACCATCATCACTCTGACTTGGTGTTGGACTTAAACTTGAATGAGACACATTCTTTTCTTGAGTTGGTGTGATTGTTCAACATTAATTTCATTATCAGAATTATCTGCAGGCAACCAATTAGAGTTTTGACCATCTAACAAAGGATTTTCTTTCTCCTGTAGTCATTTTGTTAGTATATCATCCTCTTAAAAAATATGGTCAAGGCTAATAGGATTAAAACTATTATTTATCTCGTCAATGCTCATTCTTTTTTGATGTCTCATCCTCAGCCTCAT